GTAGTTTGTTGTGGCACCAAAGCCCTCTGACAAAGAAGGCTAAATGTCTCACCAATGGGCTACAGATCCCAAAATTCCATGTCATTGAGCCAGGGCAGCTAAAGCGGTCTCAAACTGGATTATTTCTGCGGTGTGTTTTGGCACAAAGTGGAGATGGGGCAAGGCTGGGAACCACGGCACACTCCGGATGGACTGCAAGACCCAGCAGCCTCGTCCAGCATATCCAGTGGCGAGGAAGAATGGGATTTGGAGTGCAATAACACCCAGAGGGCTGCATGATTCCCACCCTTGGAATAGAGGAGCATTGTGTCTTTGCAGTCTGCATTTTGGTTGCACTCCTCTGTCTTTCAGATCTAAAGCCTTTCCGAATGCGCATGGTTAGACTTTGCAGGAGAGGGTTTTCGGGGGAATGCTGCTTAGATAGGATGCATGCAAAACGCAGAAGTGAATAATAAAGTGAATAATGAGAGAGAGCAAGGGATGGATGCTGCCAGTCCAGTGCGGCTTCTAATCTAAGGTGAGGCTTTATGCAACCATCCGCAAGTATCTATATCTCCTTTGAACGTCTTTCATCTCTGCAAAACATCAGCAACCAAGGCAAGATTTCACAACAGTTTCCTTCACTCAGCACAGAAAAAGGAGGAGGAGGAGGAGGAGGAGGAGGCACGGTTTGGGCATTTTTCTCAGCAAGAGTGCCACAAGGAACACAGAGAAGCCACATTTGCAACCAAAAGGGAAAACACCAGGGCTTTGTGGCATCTCAAAGATTCATGCCATGAAGGTTTTGTGCGCTTCGTGAAATGCAAGAAGGGAAGGAAAGGCAAAAAGACTGAGAATTTTGACAATTGCACTAAAGTAATAAAACCAGGGGTCCCTTGGTATAGCAGTATGAATCTAATTTTGAGGCTGGGGAAGTTGTCTGTATATTCCTATCCAAATCAACATCCCTGGAAGTGTGCAAGTGTGCAGATGCCACAAGGCTCTTGGCTGTTTTTGGCAGGCCTTCAGACAGACGGAAACCGACGGAGGCTCCACGAAAAGCTCCACGCCGCGACCGACGCTACGTTACCCCGGCTGCGAGGGCAAGGCACTTCTTCCTTCCAAAAACTGGGGTTCACCACACCAGCTTTGCCCTTTCTGGAGATAAGGACAGGGATGCGGGAGGCAGGGGCCGGGCGGTGGTAGCTGGGGACATTGGGCAGCTGGTCAGCCAGGCCGTGGCCGGAGGGGGAGGCCGCCGGAGGAGTCAGAGGCCTGTCCTGCACCAGGCGCGCCAACTCAATGTCCCGGCTTTGCTTGGCCATGGAGCTAGGCAGCTAGCAAGCAAAGGCGGCAGGAGTCCAAAGCTGCAATAGAAACCACAGAAATGGGTGAGAGAGGTGAAAGGGCTCTCTTGCAAAGCAGCCCATCCTCAGTGAGGAGGAATGGGGACCAGGACACAAATGCACAGCCCCCAACTTCCCCCATTTGGCAAGGAGAGCCCCGGTTCATCCTCTTCCATCCCACTTTCTCAGCTGCTTTCACAATGTCCCAGTTTCTCTCTGCTTTCCCCCTTCATCCTCAGCTTATTTCCATTCCTGCAAAATGGGGCTGATGGCAAAGGCAGAAAGGATCTGTTCCTTGGAGGAAAGTTGAATCCACTTTCCCAAGAACCAAGGGGTTATTTTTTGTATCACCTGCATCCACTGCAATGTGAGGAATCAGTCTTGACCCAACAATTTCTACCTACTGTTGTTGTAGTATTGTTGTTGTTGTTGTTGTTGTGTGCCTTCAAGTCATTTCCGACTTATGGCAACCCTAAGGCGAACATATCATGAGGTTTTCTTGGTAAGTTTCTTCAAACGTCTGCCATTGCCATCCCCTGAGGCTGAGAGAGTGTGACTTGCCTGTGGTCACCCAGTGGGTTTCATGGCTGAGCCAGGATTCAAACCCTGGTCTCCAGAGTCATAGTCCAGTCCCAAACCACTGCATCACACTGTCTCCTGAAGTAGCATTTGGATGCCTTCAAATTGACTCTGACTTATGGAGAGTCTGTCCTAAGCTTTCCTTGGCAAGATTTGTTCAGAGGAGATTTGCCATTGCTTCTTTTGAAACTGAGAGTGTGACATCCAAAGTCCAAAGGGGGGGGGGGTGTTACACTATGCTTGAGCGAGGATTCGAACCCTGCTCTCCCAGAGTCACAGTCCAGCACTCAACCACTGCACCATGCTGGCCCTCATTGGCAAGATTTACTCCAAGGAGGTTGCCATCCACTTTCAAAACTGAGAAAGTGTGACATGGCCCAGGTCATGCAATTGGCTTCCACGACCGAGCAGGGATTCGAACCCTGGTCTCCCAGAATCCTAGCCCAATGTTCTATCTGCAACCTCTCCCTATTGCTGCCCATTCTGCCTGATGTACGGTACATACCTTCCGGCACGATGGATCCGGTTCCGGTCCCTTCCTCATCCGCCTTCATTAAAAACAAGAAGAAGAAAGGGCATTTGCAAGGCCAGCTGTTCTCTTTACAGGCAAAACCAAGAAGGCTGATCTTGAAAGACAATGGCTTTTAAAAAGCAAACCCACCTGTCCAGAAGGAAGGAAGGCGGCCTTTGCCGAAGCGGCTCCTGCAAGGCTCCTGCCCTCTGATTTAGCTCTAGAAGGAAAACGAGAGAGATGGGAATGCAATGTCCTTACATACCTGCATCCAGAAACCCTAAAATCCTAGGACGCTTTCGCAAATGGAGGTCCATTAAAACAGCCAACCAAATACCAAAGCACGCTGCTGCTGCTGCTTCTTCTTCTTGTTGCAACTTGCCTTCAAGTCCTGACTCCTGGCGATCCTATCCTGGGGTTTTCTTGACAAAATTTCCCCTCCTTGCCTTCACTTCTCTGGAGGGAAGCACAGAGGGACCAGAGAGGGTTGGCGGTTGCTAGGAGAAGCAGAGCAGTTGCTAGGGAGAAAAGCAGGTCACCGGGAGATTTGGATTGGTGGTTGCTAAGCGCCCGTCCTCAGCATCCTCTCTGGCCAGGCCACAAGGCCATCTTCCAGGCGCAGGAGGCAGAAAAGCGGCCCTGGGGTCCAGAAGGAGACCTCGTCCCCAAGGCCAACATCTCTTTGTACGTGTGCTGGATTGCAACTCCCATCTTCCCCATCCAGAACGGTCAATGGCCATGCTGTCTGCGGGAAATGGGGTATCTTGTCCATTGCATCTGGAAGGACGTCAGGCAGGGGTAGGCAACCTTTCCCCACTAAGGGCCAAGGGACTTCAGCTCCCAGAATCCCAGGAGCTATTGGCCAACATGGGACTATTGGCCAACATGGCTGAGGCTTCTGGGAGCTGAAGTCCTTCGGCCCTTAAAGGGGAAAGGTTGCCTACCCCTGGCATCAGGTTTAGGCCTGAAGGCTGCCTTAAGGCGATGGGTGCATCTACGCTTTGGAAATAATGCCATCTGACACCACTTTTAACTGCCATGGCTCCATCCTACAGAATCCTGGGATCTGTTGTTTTGTGAGGCATTAGTACTCTTTGGCAGAGAAGGCTAAAGACCTTGTAAAACTACAGATCCCAGGATTCCATAGGATGGAGGGATAGCATTTAAAGTGGTGTCAGACTTGCACAGTGCAAGACCTAACCCTGCATCATTCTCAGGAGTTGTTGTTGTTTGTTGTTGTTGTTGTGTGCCTTCCGACTTATGGCGATACATCAGTGGCACATCCATTAGTACCAGAGGTTGCTTTTTAGTGGTTTCAGAGTCTTTCTGGGTGCAAGAGTGGACCTCCTTAAATTTTCTCTTGGTTCTCTGGGCTATGACTCGCCCAAAGTCTCCCAGTGGGTTTCCAATGACTTGAGTGGGAATTCGAACCCTGGTTTCCAGAGCGGTGGCCCAACGCTCAAACCATTGCACCACGCTGTCTCAGGAGACCTCCGTCTTTGTCTGATAGCAATGGCTGCCTCTGTGCTAAATCCATTTGCTCACATTCATTGGGGGCCGAGGAGAAAGAGGAAGGGTCCTCCTTTCCCTCCGCTGTGCAATGCAAGACGGATGGATGACCCCTGGGTGCCCCTCATGGTCAACCAAGGGCCATTCGGTGCCCTCCAGCTTGCAACACAAGGAGGGGCCTGAGACCAAGCCTGAGAAGTTACTTCCACCAGCACTGAGTGACCCAGAGGGTTTGGGCCAAGGACTCCCATCCTTTTGCCTCTGGCTTCCTACCTCTTCGCTTCCTCCTCGGTGCCATGATGGATTAGTGGATTTGGGGGAGAAGCCAAGGCAGGCTCCACTGCACTGGACCAATGCATTGTTTTCTGGTGGATGATGGGATCTCTTCCTCCGTCCATGGAGCATCCCTCGTCCCTTTGCTTCTTGGGAAGGGTGCAAACTGAAAGGCGACAGGGAAGGTTGCATGACAGAGGCTCCTCCAAATCAAGATCTTAAGATCTGTCTCTCTGTCTGGTGGAAAATGGAAAGAGCTTTTCTCTTCCATCCTGGGGCTTCAGGGTCCATCTAAATTGTAGAAATAATGCAGCTTGACACCACTTTTAAGCGTTGCTTGTTGTTGTTACTGTTGTTGTGTGTTTTGAAGTCGTTTCCGACTTATAGTGAACCTATCACAGGGATTTCTTGCCAAGATTTGTTCAGAGGAGGTTTGCCATTGCCTTCAAGAGAAATGGAGGGGAAATCATTTATACCAAGGAAAGACACAACGGTCTCTCAAGAGTCACCACAAATTGGTTTCACTTACCCTTAATTAACATGAACTGCATATAATTTACAGAAATGCATTGTCCGGCACCATTTCCAAATATGGATCCAGCTTTTGCAGGACATTGGTCTGCTTGTTGTTGTTGTTGTTGTTGTTGTTGTGGGCCTTCAAATCATTTCCGACTTATGGCAACCCTAAGGCAAACCTATCATAGGGTTTTCTTAGCAAGATTTGTTCAGAGGAGGTTTGCCATTGCCATCTTCTGAGGCTGAGAGAGTGTGACTTATTGCCCAAGGTCACCCAGTGGGTTTCATGGCTGAGCTGGGATTCGAACCCTGGTCTTCAGAATCATAGTCCAACCCTCAAACCACTATGCCATGCTGGCTCTCTTGAAGTGATGTAGCTCCATGCTATGGCATCCTTGGATTTGTAGTTTTGCAAGGTCTTTAGCCTTCTCTGCCAAAGAGTGCTGGAGTCTGACAAAACTACAAATCCCAGGATACTGAAGGATGGGGCCAGGGTAGATAAAAGGGTGTCAAACTGCATTATTTCCAGTGTAGATGCACTGAAATTGCAAGAAAAAGGGTGCCACCTAAAACTTAGGAAGAACCTCTGGATGGAAAGAACTTTCCATCTTTGGAGATCTTTAAAAGAGAGCTTGGATGAGCGCAGGGTGACCAGATGTCCCAAGTGCAAAGGAGGACAAGGCACCGCAAAATGTAGGACATTCGAGAAAAATGTTAGGTCGTTACCAATTAAAAATTTCAATCTAAATTCATAATTCTTGGTCCTATTCAAAATGGAGGAAGTTTTGAAATTCCTCCTGGAGAGAAGGTGGAAATGTAGGGCGCGTCCTGGAAAAGGAGGACACCTGGTCACCCTGGAGGAGTGTCTCTTCCTGCATGGCAGCAGCTTCCAGACCTATGATTTTGTGAAATAAAATGTGAAGCCGAATGGCCATCCACCAACGAAGAGGGGAAAGACAGTTTTTCGGGTCACGGCAGGAGGAGCAGATATCGATGCGTCCGCATTGCACAACTGTAGCACTTCCATCCCGCTTCAACTGCTAGAGAACTGCCCTATGCAATCCTGGGGAGTTGTAGTTTGGTGAGGAACTTTGGTCTCTTCTAACCATTGCAAAACCTGGGCCCCCTTTGCATTGCCTTGGTGCCATGCTATGATATCTTGGGATTTGTAGAGCGCAGAATTGGGGGGTGGGCTTTTTGGTCTGTTTTGAACTCGGTGCTCCTCTCTGGGTGACCAAGGCCAACCAACCGCTCAAGGGCTGCACTTTTGGAGCTTCTGTTTCATTTTGGGTTTTTAAAAGAAGTTTTAAAAGAAGTTAAAAACACACAGAAATTAATTGCATGCAGGCAAAGACTGTTATGGCCTGACTGACTTTTGAACCTTTCCAGAAATGCTGGTGTGCGTGTTTGTGTGTTGTGTAGTTATTTTAATCTAATTATAGTTATTTTATAGTTGTTTATCATAGTTATCATAATTATAGTTATTTTAATCTCATTATAGTTATTTTAATCTAATTTACCTGTTATTTTTAAGTATGTTTTACATTTCAATTGTTTAATTGTATTTTAAGGGGTGGGCTACTGGGAGACAGGATTGTTTATTTTTATCTTGTAAGCCGCCCCGGTTGTATTTTACAGAGAGGTGGGATATAAATTATTATTATTATTATTATTATTATTATTATTATTATTATTATTATGTGCCTTCAGGTCCTTCTCAATATTTCTCTGGCTGTAGGAAATCATAACTTTATTCAAGTTGTACCTTCAGTTAAGGAAGACCTTGGAAGCATGACCGCTTTTGGAGAGAGAAAAACCCAGCATCCCCCAGTCGACACAGTCATTGTCCAAATTGGCCGGATTCTGGGCATTGCAATCCAAGCAATAACTTTCCCAAGTTCTGGTTTAAAGTTCTGGCTGGTGGGTTTGCCATTGCCATCCTCTGAGGCTGAGAGAGTGTGACTCAATGGGTTTTCATGGCCGAGTGGGGATTCAAACCCTGATCTTCTGAACCACAGTCCAATCCTGAAAACTACCACACCACACCTTTGCTAGTCAACAGCAATGTTGCCCAATGGTTAGGTGTGGAGCAAGCTGGGTTGTTCATTTTTAAGCTGGACATCACTTGGCTAAATTAAGCCGATTGAGAGTCAGTGGTGACCGGAGGCGTTCGTGCCAATGGGGCGATGCATCTGCTCTGGGTTTTAGACCGAACTTTATAGGAGCTCTCCAAGGTGCTGAACTCCATCTTCCCACTTTGAATTGCTCTCTTAAGGATTTATCCTCCACCTTCTGTGCAAGATTTTGCAAGTTGCAATCTCTTCACCAGAACTGCACAAAAAGTGACATAATCCTGGTGCAACTGGTGAGTGAGTGTGTGTGTGGGGGGGGCACTTTCCCTTTGCACAATCGTGTGCACAATGGTGCAACCTTGGACAACCTCCGGTGGAGCTGTGCTTGCACAAAGTGCCATTACGCAACCGCAGTTTCGGGATCTTCGTCTGAGATCACTATTGCCCTTTCCGGGTTTTTCTTTGCTGCTTTTCTTGCTGAGATTCCCCCCAATAAAACTCTGTCCATCTCAGGTTTAGACTGTGGTTTTATTTGAGTTGAGAAACAAAAAAGAATATAAACAGACCAATAAAAATGTGCAAAACTCTAGCCGATTCGACCGGGCCTCCCAAAATCTTCAGGGTCCATTTTGTTTCAGAGGCATTCAAGCCCCTTTGCTCCCTGAAACAAAAGGAGAAGCGGGCATTAAAGGGAGGAAAACCAGGAGGACTGGACACGCGTCCAGCACTTTCCAATGTCCAAATTGCCATAACAAACCCCAAACCCCAAACCACCAAGTCTTCCTTTCAGGAACCTGCCCTGCATCTGCATCTGCACTGCACAATTAATGCAGTTTGACACCGCTTTAACTGCCGTGGCTCAATGCTAGGGAATAATGGGATTGGTAGTTTTTGTGAGATAGTCAGCCTTCCCTCTCAGAGAGCTCTGGTGCCACAACAAACTACAAATCCCAGGATTCCATAGGATGGAGCCATGAAAGTTAAAGCGGCGTCAAACTGCATTAATTCTGCAGTGTGGCAGCAGCCTAAGTTTCCATTTCAGCCATTCTTTCCCAATGGCATTTGCATGGGGGGATTTTATGTGCTAATAATAAGTGCAAAGGCAGAGATATCCTCTTTCATAGCATCTAATAAAGAGCTGGGTTTAATCAGTTTCGACTACATTTAAAATTGTTTTGCTAATTTTTATGTGCTTTAAGAACCCTTTCTTGGGAAAAGTGCAGCCCTTGAGTAGACGGCCAACCCAAATATTTGATTCCACAGTCTGAAAAATTTACTTTAACACTCAATATTGTTGGGAATGGAAAAGAGAACTTTATCCCTCCTTCCTGCAAGCAAATATACAATCAGGCATTGGAAACTTTACTTTGAGGATGATCTAAATCCAGCTGCTTCGTCCCAACTAAAATATTGTTAAGACAACATTTAAGTAAGTTCCATGAATCTGTTGTTTTTGTCTGCCTTCAAGGCAGTTCTGATGCAAGATTTCTTCAGAAGGGGCTTGCTTTTGCTTTCCTCTGAGGCTGAGAGAGTGTGACTTGCCCAAGGACACCAAGTAGGTTTCTATATTTGAACCCTGGTCCCCCAAAGTCCTAGTCCAACACTCAAACCACGGCATCAATTTGGCTCTCTGTTAATCAAATCCAGCCGTAATATTTGGGATTAACAACCGAATCCCAATAATAACAATATCTAGGATTAACAACCGGATTTAGACCTTGTTTCATAGTTTTTTAAGGGGTGGGTGGGATTGTGGGATATGTAATGTATGTTTTAATGTTGTAAGCCGCCCCAGTTGCATTATGCAGAGGGACGAGATTATTATTATTATTATTATTATTATTATTATTATTATTATTATTATTATTATTCCACGACAACACCTAAAATTCTCCAGCCCACCGTGGCCAGTGCATTCAGAGTTGTAGTCCAACAAAATAACTTTTCCAAACTTTGGTTAGGGATGTATGATCAACCAAAGAGATAAAATGCCTATATACTGTGGATTAACTCTATTGCAGCCTCCGCCTTGAATGCCTCATCCATCTAATAATAATAATAATAATAATAATAATAATAATTTATTTATATCCCGCCCCTTTGAGGTCAATCGGGGCGACTAATAGCCCCAGAGGGGAGAAAATGGGGGACTTACTCGCTTGTCCAGAGCCCTTCTCTGCAGCTTCTCTGATCTGTCAGAAAGAAAAGGAGATGCAGTATATACACACTCTTTGGGACCATCCTGGAAAATTGGCACCTGCCTTCCCTAACCAAGTGCCTTGCGGATCTGTTGGACGGCAGTCCCCTTCCTCTTCCACCAACTGCCTTTCCCAGCATCCCCAGGCAACTGGCGTAGGCATCGGGGCGCTGGGTGAGAAAAGGGAATGCACCTGAGCTGCCCTTGTGTTGGAAGGCAAATACCTGCAAAGGACAGGTAAGGCGCCCATCTACATTTACTTTTTCTGTCACTTGGGTTTACAGTGGATGTTGTTATTAATTGTTGTACCGGTAATTGTTTTTATTTTAACTGACTTTTACTGTTTTACCTATTGTTTGTACTTAGATTGTACGCCTTTGGCAGGTTTTAT